GGGAGGAATGGGGTTGGAATGGGCATGGGAATGGGGTGGGAATGGGCAGAAAGGGGAGGAATGGGGATGGGAATGGGGTGGGAATGGAGGAGAATGGATCGGAATGGGGTTGGAATGGGGATGGGAAGGGGGGGAATGGGGTGGAATGGGGTTGGAATGGGGGTGGGAATGGGGTGGGAATGGGCAGAAAGGGGAGGAATGGGGTTGGCATCCCGCAGTACCCCGGGGGTATCCCACCGTATCCCGCACTATCCCAGGGGTATCCCACAGTATCCCGGGGTATCCCAGTATATCCCAGGGGTATCCCACAGTATCTCAGTGTATCCCAGGGGTATCCCGCAGTATCCCAAGGGTATCCTGCGGGATCCCGGGGGTATCCCAAGGGTATCCCGCACTATCCCAAGGTATCCCAACAGTATCCGGGGTTACCCCACAGTATCCCAGGGGTATCCCAAGGGTATCCCAGTGTATCCCTGTGTATCCCAAAGGTATCCCAGTGTATCCCCAGGGTATCCCAGTGTATCCCATGGTATCCCAGCGTATCCCAGGATGTCCCAAAGGGATCCCAGTGCATCCCAAAGGTATCCCAGTGTATCCCAGGGTATCCCCAGGGTATCCCAGTGTATCCCCAGTGTAACCCAATGTATCCCAAAGGCATCCCAGTATATCCCCAGGGCATCCCAGTATATCCCCAGGGCATCCCAGTGTATCCCAAAGGTATCTCAGTGTATCCCAGGGTATCCTGGGGCATCCCAGTGTATCCCAAAGGCATCCCAGTGTATCCCCAGGGTATCCCAATGTATCCTAAAGGCATGCCAGTGTATCCCCAGGGTATCCCAATGTATCCCCAGGGCATCCCAGTGTATCCCAAAGGTATCCCAGTGTATCCCAAAGGTATCCCAGTGTATCCCAAAGGTATCTCACTGTATCCCAGGGTATCCCAAAGGTATCCCAGTGTAGCCCCAGGGTATCCCAGTGTATCCCAAAGGTATCTCAATGTACCCCAAAGGTATCCCAGTGTATCCCAAAGGTATCCCAGTGCATCCCCAGTGTATCCCAGTGTATCCCCAGGGTATCGCGGTGTATCCCAGTGTATCCCAGTGTACCCCCAGA